AACCCCAATATATTCCCTGTAATCCCTATATATAACCTTTATGTAATCCCTATAATCGCTGTAGTTTCCATTTTGTTTTTCACTATCTGAATAAAGCCCCAATGTAAGCCCTATTATCACTATCCTATATACCCCCAGTTTCCAATTCATGTTCCATTTTATGTTCCATGTGATTCTACATTATGGGGGTAATATCCTTGTACATAACCCCAAAATAACCCCAATACAACCCTGATATAAACCCAATATATTATGATCGTTTCCATTTTCTCTTCCATTATCCCGATATAAACCCATATAAACCCTATATAACCCTAAACCCTTAACCCTGAACCCTAATCCCTAATCCCTATAGAATATCACCCCAGTGGGACTGAGCTCCCGGCCGCTCTTCTTCGGCTTTCTCCTGTAAACTGGTGCTTTGACGTGTCGATACTGAAATACCCATTGGGGTAATGTTAGGGTTTAGGGTTTCGGGTTTGGGGTTATTTTGGGGAAACGGAAAATAAAATGGAAACTACTACATAGAGGTGTATATTGGGGTTAATTTGGGCTATATTCAGATAGTGAAAAATAAAATGGAAACTACAGCGGTTATAGGGATTACATACAGGTTATATATAGGGATTATAGGAAATATGTTCGGGTCATATTGGGATAATGGAAAATTGGAATGGAACCTACTATTTAGGGTTAGGGTTTAGTTAAGGGACCTAGACAATTTGATTCCAATGGGTAGTCTACAGGGATTGTGGCCCACAATGATTAAGATTTCTGCTCAGGACTACGAACAGAAGCCGAAACGTTTTCATCAATCAGCAGAAGCCCTGGTTCTCCGGACCATACTCAGGGGGTGCGTGAAGGTTTTTGAAAACCCCCTTTGGGGGAATTTCTATTTCTTCCTCTGGAACCCTATACTTACTGGTGCATGCGTGGTTGGTAGGGAATAAGGGTATAGGAGCCCCATACAGTCCCTACATCGTATTTTCCCCTATTCCCTACCATATTAACCCTTAAACCCCTAAACCCTAACCCCAGTAAGTATCAAGTACCCATGTAGCCTTGATTCTCATAAGTCACCCGAAGAACGTACAGCCGCTGAAGCCCAGGTCCTCTGCCTGCTGGCGCTGGTACTCCAGCAGCCATGCATAAGCCTTCGCACAACTAATGAGGGTTTAGGATTTAGGCTAACAGCAGCAACACTTTGGACACTGATAATACTAGCAAATTACAATGTCAGTCGCAGTTGGCAGTCCCTCCCTTTAAATTGTATTTTGTTAATTGCAAAGGCCCTGCAAGTTTGTGTCAGGGTGTAGTCGTAGCCTACATAATATGTGTCTTCAAGCGCGTTTGCATGATTCCCTCCTCCTCGAAAACTTTTCAAACTGCCAGTGCCAGAAACTTCCCATCACGAGAATTCAGTTGGTGTAAAACAGCATGTTGGGAACATCTGATGACAACCCAACTTGGCTTGCGTTTGATGTTTTGCTCGCGGAAGAATTGGCTTCCATGAGCTTCCTGGCAGATATTCGCCTTGCAGCCACATTGTGCCCAGAGTGCGACTCTAGGATTCTCAGACAAGCCAGACAGGCCGTACAAGATGAACTAAACAGGGACAAGATTCCTCGATCTGTCACGACTGTTGTACAGGAGTACCAAGCTCTTCCTCAGCATGTAAGACCCCTGCCTAGGTAGAGTCCTCTTGCAAAACGGCTTTCCGTTGGGGCCTTCTCTTTCTTCTCGCGCTCAGCCTGCTCTTCTGGGCCTTAGCATACGCCATGGCTAAGCTGTAACACGCTTGAGAATGGGGCAAGATATAGCTGGAGATGAAGAGAACAGAGAAGTTATCATTCTTGAGAACAGCTGTACATTAAAAGCCTTTCAAGCCGAGCCCGCAGCTCTCCACCTTGGTGGCTGCCTTCTCGGCGCGTTCCTGTCTATTTTCTTGCGCCATTTACCCCGAGCCCGTGGTTGCCAAAGGCGGCTCGTGCTCACATCATCAAAATATCAATGGAGATGTCTGCCTACACCACAGAGAGCCAAAGCAATCCTGGCCTGGGCGGCCTTCACAGCCCCCTGCATCATGACCTGTGCATAAGGCAGCGTGGTTCAAGGGGACTGTCCCATCACTTGAATGATCCATCAACTCCATGATTGCTCCTGTTGCCAAGCCAACTTTTCAGTGGTCTCAGTTTGCTGTGGAAATATCATGCTGGGTTGCGTGAGGAAAGAAGTGGAACCTAGTGTACTGAATCAGCACACAGCCAAAGTAGTCGAAGAATAAGTAGGAGGAGGAGTAATTAGGAATGAGGCAGGAGGGTGTCGCGCTGCTAGTCATGGCGCTTCTGGTCGTGATAGTTTTGGTTCAGTGGCCACTGCGACAGTCACCCTCAAGAGGCTAAGAACCGCTAGAGTCCATTCAATCGCAGCGCATCTCTTCATGTCCACATAAGCACCAGCCCCGGCAGACCTGGCATTTTCCAGTCAAGCTTTGAGTGCCCTTGTGCGGTTTGGGAGCATGGGCTCCAAATTCAGCCTACCGCCAGGATATGCCAAGATCTTAAACTAATAATTGGGCGGTTAAGCGATAGTCACACAGGTGCCATGGCATGTTGGTCTGCCGAGAGCTCACCATTTTAATCAGCCAGGAGGTGTCTTAAGTTCCCCTCCTTGGCACGAGACAGATGCTTCAAGACTATCTGTCCGGCACGTGGCCAAACACTTCCGCTCAATTCGAGATCCTGGCAATGGCACAGCAGCCATATTCCAAACGGCGTGCAGCGATTCTGGAGTTGCATGGGCATGCGGCCAAGTTCCTTCCATCCCTACCGGTAGCCGTCTGGTTGACAGTCAGCTAGCTAAACTTCAGCTGCTAGGTTGGGCATCCAATTTTCTGCTGTGGCAGCACGTTTAAAATGCAACGCCAAGCTCTCCAGCATCCATCCGGTGTTGTCAAAGTGATTCCCACTGCCAAGGTCACTAACTCACATCTAGTGTTTCTACACCTTCGGCTGCAAGTCTCTGAGGGGAAGGGACAGAACACCAAGATGGAAAGCCCAGAGTTCGCAAACTGAATTAATTGTTGAGATCATCACGCATGAGCGCGTTGCTTGATTCCCGGAGCAGAGCATCCCTGCTCGAATTCCTGCAGAAGCTGCCAGACGCTGAAGACGTGAAACCTTGCAGTTGCTAAACGCAATTTCTAGCTCTGGGCAAGGGCCCCTGTCTCATAGCAGCCTGGCAGTTCTCCGTGCTTGACCTCTGGGCTCCAATTCAGATCCCGATTCAGCTCAAAGGACTCAAAGGCCTTGGCTTCCCCGTGATCCAGAGCTTGAGCTTTCAGGCACTTGCAACTTTTGAATCGCTGTCTGGAAGCAAGGAAGACAACCTTAGGCCCACACGCATCGTGGATCCCGACCCGCGCTTCAGCTCCAAGGAGCGGATCTCCTGCAGCAACACTGGTATAACAAGGGCCCTGCAGGGCGCTCGTAAAATCCTTAGTTAAAGTTGTCAGCTGTCATAGAACCTTGAGCCCACACGGCACACCAGCTTGCTGACCAAAAAAAAACTTGCAAAACTCCTCAAAACTGGGGCGCCTCATGCGCATCCAAGATCTGAATCACACCGCTGCAGTCTGCATCATCAGCCAGGCCTTTGCGGTGCTTGCGCGGGACTGGGATATCAGAGTTCACGGCCAACGGCCCAAAGTCACGCCACGTGCAAAAATTTCTCGTTTGTTGAGTCCTGTTCAAGAAGTCCGCCGGCAATAGCCCATCATATGCATTTCGGCTTTCACACTCTGGCGAACTAGCATGTAGCGCTTCATAGATCAATGCTCACGGCTAGTCCCTTCGTGCAGCACTTCTGATGACCGAAAACACAGCCGTGAAAACACCTGCTCCAGGGCCAACACGCGCAACGGACTCGGAGCAGTCAGCTATACGATCCACCTGCAAGCACCAAGGCTTCAGGTCATTGTGGCACTGGCAACCCTTACCACCAGAGTAGGCCCGACAAGGACCTCATCTCTGAAGCCAAACGCCCTTTCGTGTCTGGTCCCAGTGCTCCGTAAAAAAACAAGAAGCTGAGTTGCATCCAAACCATTCGGGAACTGTCGCAGTGCTGCATCCGCTCATTTCCTGCTATAGTCCCCCTTATGTAAATAGATAGAATATGGCTTTGGGCATATTATGATAAGATCCCCATATACCCCATAATCTATCTACTTGAGGGGGACTACAAACTCTACCAGTAGCTACTGGCAGAAGACCATTGCTCGGGCCCTGGCCAGTGAGCGCAGGGACCCTGCCAGGCCATGGACCCAGCGCGGTACGAGGCCGGCACCCAGGCGCCTAATGCACCCGCCTAACTTACTGGGGGTTAGTGGGGAACAAAGGAATATAATATGTATTGATTCTGTAGGGCTTATATTCCCCTCCAGTAAGCTCCCTCCAGTAAGCTAAACGTTTAGAGGATTTCTTGAGGTACTGACATGGGGACTATTTATTACATCACAAGGTTTCATGCTGGTTGGCCAGCTGCTAGGCTAGGACTGAAAGGCCACAGGATTGAGGGGATTGTGTTTGTTACCATGAACCTATATCCTGGTAATTATAATACGAGCTATTGTCTAAAATCATAGGTATCCCCTTTAAGTCCTGTAATACTCCCCTATATAATTCCCGCCTTGAAGGAGTTTAGACTTTCGCCTATAGCTCATATGATGGGGCTCCTAAGTGGTGCAAGGCTTCCTCCATCCACCCTACGAGCACAGGTGCAACCATTCCCTGGTACAATCTCGTTTTGCTTAAGCCCTCCTTGCCTTTGCCAGCCGCTTCAGGTTTGGGGATGTGTGCCCTGGGATGTGGGATGACTGTTTTGGGGCTGAGGCTCGAAGAACGTGGGCTTAGAGGCACACTCAACTTGTAGATGCCTGCTTTTAGCCACCATCCACTGTCAAAAAGGCCTACATGCTGCAGCCCAGCTGCTCTGCCAAGGCAGCCGAGAAGTGGATGCAGTTCCTCAGTACGGCATGCACTCGTACAGAAGCTTGATAATATTACCCCATATAACCCATTATAGTAGTTTCCATTTGATTTTCCATTATCCCAATATAACCCTACACCCTAAACCCTATATAACCCATTGCCGCAGAATGCATGCTTTGTGCTTAGGCTCCGCGATAGAGGACCATAGCTCCTCCCAGGCCATTCCTGGCACAACTGGGTTGCTGTTAAGGAACTTAAATTAAGTTACCATAATGGGTATAGGGTTTAGGGTTTAGGGTTACCATAATGGGTATAGGGTTTAGGGTTTAGGGTTACCATAATGGGTATATATAGAAAATAATAAGGTTTATCCAGTATAGTAACTTAATTTAAGTGCCTTAACACCAACCCAGACAAACGCTGGTGTGCGCGGATCTTTGGGACATCCTACTGCCTTCAGGCCATGCTCTGCTTGCAGGCTCGATGGGGCAGCAAGACTTGATGGACGTTGCTGCAAAATCGTCCTCTAATTACGAATAGATATACCATGACAAGTGCCACTTCGGAGCTGATGCTTGCCTTCTTGAGTTCCTTCACGATCGTCTTGACATCCTTTTGGTCCAGTGCTGTGTAACCAAGCAGAAGCGATTCTCGAAACCTGAGATAGCTTCATGCTTCTCAAACCGATCCACTCAAACCCAAAAAGCAAACAGGGTGTTGATTGGCGTTTACTTGATACCTCGAATCTTGCGTCTTCATTTAGAAGCGGAGCAGCGAAAACAATCCAGCATGACTAGGTTCGCCCTTCAGCCCACTGCTTGATGAGGTGGTTTGTATATCAATCCAGGTTGCGCTGTTGTCCAGTATCCAGCTTGCTGGTCCAACTTCACGTGCAATTGAGGCTCAAACAGCAGCAAATTCGGAAAGCATGCTTCATGGTCTCGATTAGGATCTACTTCACTCTCACCCAGCAACCTCAGCACTGCCTTGATCTGGCGTTCAAAGCGGCCGAGCTGCGCGTGCGAGGCATTGCGTTTGGGCTGGCAGGCATACACGCCGGTGCCTCGTTCTCGAAGCCCGAAGCTGTACTCCCAGCCATGGACCTTTCAATGAGAGAAACTCACAAGCGCCAGTACAGCTGAGCTATGGAGCTTAGTTCCCTCTTGCCAAAATCCTCTCTCTGCGTCCTGTAGGTCTAAGAACTCACGATTCCTGTGAAGCCTTGACAGCACAATCCCAGCATCAGTGTCTCCCGCAGGCTGCGGCGAAGTGCTGTCTTGGACTGACTGATACAGAGGCCCAAGCTGAAATCGTTCTGCTAAACAGAGAAACAAACAGCTTCGCAAGAGTTCCATGTGTAAGCATAATACCACCTCGCAAGTTCCTGAAACCCACCAAGCCTCGATGCCTGCATGAAAGAGGCCAGCGCCTGCACTGAGCAAAGAGAATGCTCTAGCAAATCTGACATTGGAGACGGGCAAGTTCTCAATCCAGCTATTATCAGGGAGGGGAACAGCACATTCGGGGGGCGGCAGGAGGTACGTAGTAAGCGAACTTCGCAGCGCCACTGTCCCCAAGACGAAGTTATTCGAAAGGTTGGAAGTACCTGGGGTGCCCAAACGATGGCACAAACCTGACCCTCTCAAATCACCCAAGACTGCACGAACCCAGTTTAAATACGAACCTCATGAACCACACGAACCCTCATAGGGTTAGACGAACTCCCCGGGGTTCTCACGAACGTCTGGGAGTGAGAGGAGATTAGCCGAGCCCCGAGGACAACTGCACACGCTTCGACGGAGAGGCTGCTCTGACAAACGAGGGCGGGAAGCGGGTTAGCCGAACCTTGTCAAACGACGGCGGGCTGGATATGCACTGCCTCTCCCTGGGCTGCTCTGAGTGTAAGAGTCTTCCAAAACATGAAAATGTGTATAGGCTAAAGGATGCTTCACCAAAGTCAAGTGGGGACTTTAAAAGCCTCTGCAAGGATGCATTACTCTGCCAGCAAGAGCAACCTTGCTACCTTCGCTTCGTGCTCTTGCTGTGTTCTGCACCCGCGCACGGTGTTCTGCACCCAGCTGAGCAATAGTCTAAACTCCTAGTATCCCCCTGAATCCCCCTTAATAACCCCTATAGTAGTCCCCTATATAATCCCCTAGAGGACCCCCTTTAAGGAGTTTAGACTATATATAGCTCAGCTGTTAGAGTACACGCCCTGCACAAATCCCAGCGGCCTGAATGCCTGAGCGCCGAGTTGAGAATTGGGAGGTGGAAGGAGTCTGTCAGATCGTACACATGAAGCCAGACTGCCTCACCGAAGATCACCTCCTGCCATGGGGCAATGAACCCAATTTGCACTGGAAGCCGAGCCCGGGGAAAAAATCTCACTCGGTCCAGTACTTAGAAGTTACTGGCGATGATGAGGGATGCAATGTCCACAAGTTCTGCAGCAGAGACCTGAACTGGTACAACATCCTCACAATCACCTATAGCATTGCAAGCCAACGTGGTTCTGCTATGGTGTCCCATGCTCCATAAATCCAGAAAAAGCAAACCTACCAACCCCATTCACCCCCTGCCTACATCTCAAATCCCGAGCAGTCCTCCTGTGGGGCTTCGTGGAAGGTGGGCCCGCAATCTGAAGTTTCCATACAGACTGAAGGCTCGGGGCCCACATCATTGCCTTGGACACACGTGCTGGGAATGATTTGTTACTGACGGTCGGCTGCATACAGGGACCGACCTGCTGGCCTTGATGCCAGCTTATCGACCGACAGGTCTGCAATGCAGTCATGCTTACATGCATGAGAAAGGGGCCATGCGCTCAGACGTTAAAGTGCGGGCAGAAGACTGAACTCCAGGGCTAACGCAAGCGGGACGAGCGTCTTGCAGTTCTCTTCGTCTACATCAGACTTCAGTAGATGAGCCGGCACGAGAGTCTGCCAGTCGGCTGACTCCGCTGCGGGCCCAGGCTCTCCAGACTCCAGGAAAGGTTCCAATGTCTGCCACAAACAGGATTCCTCTGGCGTGCGTGCCCCAGACATGTCGGGAGGGAGCAAGGAGAGATGAGAGAAAAAAGGAAAACCCTTGTTTGTGCCTTTACAGCTTGAGCCACGTGGCAAACAAGACTCATGTGATGTCTGGCATACCGTCGACTCATCTCAGATAAGGACAACAGAGTCACAGCTTGCTTGCCTCAAACGCCCAAGCCCTGAGCCGCTACAGTGCACGTGGGGAATCATAACCCAGTCACACAGAGCAACGTAAGAGCAAATGGCCTGGTCGGCGCTGACAGGTTCTTCCATCGCGCTTACAACCTGCTCGAAAATTGCCATGCTATAGGCACTTCTGGAGGGATGGGCTTGATACATCACACCCATCAGATATGTACGTAGAGAACCGGCAGAAACGTCTGCAATACAGATTTACTGTGTTAAACCCATCCTCTCCCCGAATATTAAACCCCCCCCAACCCCCCCTCCCCAATATTACATGCGCCCCATGGTGCTATATTGACATATATTGGGAGCATTTAGTATTAGAGGGGCGGGACTGTTCTGCGGGCATACGACTTGTTATGGGGGGTTAGTAGGGAGGAAAGGTATGTATGTATGTATGTATGTACGTACGTACGTACGTATGTATGTGTGTATATATATCTATGGATATATATTGTTTATGGTATTCATTTCTATTTATACAAGGATTATTATAGGGATTATACTCCCCTATTCCCTACTGACCACCAGTGAGTATGAGAATCAGATGGCTTCATGGAAATCCTGCTGCCTGCGGGCTAGCAGGCTCTTGTTTCCCTGTGAGATGCAAGCCCCACATCCCTGGAACCTCAAAAGTCAAAACCGGCACCAGCACTGAAACCCGCTTAGGCCTTGTTCTCCCCCAAAGTTTCTCTAATGACAGCCTCAGCCAGTAGCTCTAAACCCTACACCCTCGGCAAGAGCCTTGGCCAAGGCTTCCGCTTCCGCGGCGGCGGCGCGACGCGCTGCCGCCTCTGCCGCCTGACGGGAAGGCAAGGTGGCAATCTTGCTTTTGTCTGTTTCGGGCGGTAAGGGTTGATGTTGGGATGGTTAGGATTCTTGTGCAGGGTCTCTCTGAAACTTGAGGGTGCTGTTGAGGCTGGGGGAGTCTTAAGAGTCCGTTGGTCAACGGGTTTCGGCATTCAGGAAAAGGCTGCGCGCTGAAAGAAGCACAAGGCTTGCAAAAAGCGACCCTGCTGACTGAACTGCACTTCCTGCATACAGTTGCCTCTATAAAAGTTAGCTACCGCTACCTTGCCGATGCCTGATCCCTCAAGCAAACAGCGAATGCTACTCGGCTTCTCTCCAGAATGCTGTGAACTGAGATGGTAGCTAACAATGCCAAGAAGTCAAACCCTCCTTCTGATATGCCGAGCGTGTGCGAAACCATCTACGCAGTTCTGGCAAGCACATGTCTTCTGTTCAAGAGACTTCGTGTATAATAGCACCCAAATACCACAGTTCTTCTGAGCATATTTCTCATGGGTTACGACGCCACGCCTCCTCCTCTTCAGCTTGAGCCTGCCGCCTTTGCAAGAGCAAGGCAAGCAAATTGGAGATGAAGGACTTCAAATTTTGGGGATGCAGACTTTGGGTTGGAGTGCAAGGGTCTTTGAGCAGCTATGGGAGGCTTAGCAGCTTCAGTTCAGTGACCTAACACAGAGACATCGAGGGCATCGCAATATGAAGGTTGCCGAAAAGAAGCTGGGCACATCCTCTCTGAAACAACCAAGTTCCAGCAGTATGAAGTTGGATTGACATGGTTTGCACCATCAGTAGCCTGCTTAAGGATGTCAACTCTTAAGTGGGTCAACCACATCGGAATAAACACGTTGCCCTACTAGCCATGAGAAGCCGATGTATTGAACGCAACTCATTAACGGTCATGCTACCCAAACGCCCAGCCATAAGGCACTGGACTCTGTGTAAAGTCCCAAAATCTAAACCCTGCGTGCGCACTAACCTCCCATCCCCAAGAAATGAGGGTCGTTTTTTGAAATTCCTGTAGTCCACTGTAACTAGGATTCTAATATGTTGCAGTATGTCGGCCTGTCAGGGAGAGCCTCCAGTGTTCATTCGTTCTTGCTTTTTGGTTTTCATAAATAGGTGAACCCCGTTTAGACCAAATGTACTAAGAACTACAAAAGGTGCAAACCAACAACATAACACCGGTTTCCATTTCATTGTTCTGGTTCTTTTTCCATCTTTGATTTGGGGTAACATCCTTACACCCTATGTAACGCTGTATGCGACGCCTGTATATCATCCGTATAGATAGTTGCTTCAATTCCATTTCCCATTCATTTTCCTTTTGATTCTCAATGATTGGGGTACTATCCTTAAACCCTAGACCCTAAATAGTACTTTCCATCTTCTTTTCCAGTTCCTTTACTACTTCTTTTTGAACCCTATGTGAGCTATAGCCTCAACTCCTAGCATCCCACTTAATAACCCCCACAGCAGTCCCCTACATAACCCCCTTTGAAAGTTTAGATAGCTCATATTTCCCGAGGCCTGGCTTCCGCTTCCAGCCGGCACCTGCACCAAAGATTCAACCAGAAGCAGGGTTTAGGGTTCAGGGTTCAGGGTTAGATTAGGGGGGCATCTGAGTCGCATTCTTTGGTGGCTGAACCCGGAAGACTATGTTGTTCTCCTGAATTTCCACACCCAAAAGGTGGATGTATTCTTACTCTATACTGGGCACGATAGGAAGCTTAGATAAAGCACTACTTATCTGAAGTTGGGGGCAATACAAAGGAGCTAACAACATGTAAGCAGGCTTGAAATGAGCTATATATAGTCTAAACTCCTGGTATCCCCCTTATAAGCCCTATAATGCTCCCCTTTCTAATCCCCTAGATAACCCCCCTTTAAGGAGTCTAGACCATAGCTCCAATGAGGATAGCTATGTTTGCCTGACATGCTCCTGGCTCCTCTTGAAGGTATCATCAAGGCGGGTCCCAAAGTAGACCCCAACATGTTTTAGGGTTCAGGGTTTAGGGTTATAATCCTTATTACAAGGACTCCCCAAAAAGGGCCCTAATTGTTGGAAACCCTTATAACCCCCATAAATCCCCATCCGTGACCCCAATTTCCATTTCACTTTCCATGGTTGTTCCATTCAGTTGTCCTTTGCTTTGCTTCTGATCCTGGCTTCTGACGCCGCTTCAGCGGCCACTCTGCTGCAGGCCAATGCAGACCCATAACTAACAACCCCCTCCTCTTAAGGGCCTGAAGAGTAGGATCCCTATTGTAATCCCTATTAAGGGGAGGGGGGTTATTTATCAGGGGTCTGGGTAAGCACAAACTGGCCTTGCTTTGCTGAAGTGTGTAGCTCTGTCTTGATAAGCATTAGGTTCTCTATAGTTCAGCACATCTGCAGATTTTGTGACGTATCCCCTGCCAGTGAAATCACTACTCTCCATGTTGAGGGTAGCCTGAGGTTTCTCTATGCTCCGCCCGGGCAGCTGCTTTGTCCAAGATCTTTTTCCAGTCGGCTTGGAGACCGTAATCAAAAGCAAGGCAAGGAGAGCGGGCAGATTTAATTTGGGATGTTCGTTCCTCTACCTTCGCACTTTCCTGTGTCACAGGGAGTGCATGATTTTGAGTAGCTTGGAAGGCGTTTTTGGTCGCGCCTCTCCCTTTCTTGCTGGATCCGTCTCTCGCGCTGCTCCCGGAGCAGCCTAAACGCCGCGGGCATTGGTTTGGGATGTAAATATGTAGGTATAAAGGCAAGGGTGGCGGGATTTATGAAGGGCCGATTTTACATTTTTTCCTTGTAATTAAAGTCTTGCCCAAGTACAGCTACCGACCACCACAGTGTAAGCACTTTTGCCGACGAGGCAGAAGCATCTCGCCCCTTTAATTTAAATTGGTGTGGTTTCTGCGGGGTGCTGGAGGCTGCTCCTTCGAGGAATCTTGACCTCCGCAGAACTCCAGTAAATTCCACTGCAAATGGGAAGTAGGGAATGATTTTGAAGGTGAAAACGGTCCAAGTACATTCACAGCCTCGAGCTGCTTTTTGTGGATTCTAGGTCTTGGGGTCCCACTTTCCTGCCGTAGATACACTGGCAACTCCTGGTGTAGTACGTGGCATTGTGCCTCAAACATTATGCCACTTATTCCATTGTCCGATCCACGCTGGTTTGCTCAACGGTGCGCCTATCTCCAAATCCGAACTTGCTTGCACAACAGATGGAGCAGCAGCTTCCTACACCAATGATCTGCAAACTGACCTTCTCTGCACATTGATACATGCCGAAAGCAAGCATCGCTTGTGGTGTGAAACCACACACCTTTAAGTCTGGCTACCTGGGCTGCGCCGTGAAGCAAGGCGGGATTCTGCTCTTATAACAGCATAATTTGGATAGAGGTCTTCTAGCTGGCTGGGCGAAGAAGCTAAACTTGAAACTTTCATTCTGAGTCCAGACGCTCAAAGTTGATCTCCGCTGCTGGGGCATCGCCAATCAGAAGCACTTTCCTGAACAGGAGCTTTGAGACTTCAAAGAATGGGCTTGCCAGCATGAATGGCAACCACACGCGTATTATCTGCTCTCATGCTGCAACGCTGCAGGCGCGGAAAAAAAAAATGCACTGCACAAGTATCTTGAGATGGCGCGGCAAGAAGGAGCAAAGAAGGAGCAAAGAAGAAGCAGTAGTTGCACTCCTGTGATGCTGCGGTGACACTGCAGAGGGAAGCATCAAATCTTGGAAAAGGGAGTGCTCCAGGTTGGGGAAATGATTCCATGCACATCCTGGAAACTGTCAATGTCCTCACTCTCATGCTCCAAACCTTCATTACGCCTGGAGCATGAACTCCAATGCCAACACTGCTGAATACTGCTCAGTACTACTCATGCCATGATGCTCTTGGTGAGAACGTACGCTACAAACAGCACAAATAGGGTTTCCAGCAGGTCATCTCCAACTCCCACTCACAATGTGAGCTTATATGCCTATAGTCCCCCTTAAGTAGATAGCATATGGCTTTGGGTAGATGATAGTTAATACCCCATATACCCCATAATTATTCTATCTACTTAAGGGGGACTATAAAATCTCTAGGCACACGCCAGCAATAGGATGCCACTGAGGTGAAAGCTGAAGCATGGGGTCCGCAGCCCATCCATGTTGGTAGAGCTCGCGCCTTTTTCAGCATACAATCATACTTGCCGAGATGCCTCTGACGCTGGATTTGGGGGGCTTAGGTTTTTACGTGTTGGGCCTGATGTTCGCAAACACTTCGCCATCCATCCCTGCCAAAAGTCGGGAAAGGGTTGGGAGGGGAAAGGACACATTTTTTGCCTTCAACAGGGCAGAAAGGCGTATAAGATGCCCCATGGTCTTCTTGCCTAGCTGCATGTCCAGAAATGATGAAGGGGTCCCAAACCTTGCTATTAACACGGGAACCACGAGATCGCGGTCCAAAACGAGTCTATGTGACGAACAGCAAGTGCGGTCTAGGATCTATCTGACACAAAGTTGAAACCTTGAACCCAAGACCTAAACCCGAGTCTCCCCGCACGCCCACAACGATGATGTCCGCGGCTGTTCCGCGCAGTGCGGCTGACGGAGGAGACACCTGAAAAGGCCAGGGTGCCAGAGCATCATAAATAGTAGCTTCCCTTTTCTTTTCACTATCCCCCCTATAGCCCCTATATAACCCCATTATAAAATAGTAGTTTCCATGTTCTTTTCCACTCTCCCCTCTATAACCCCAAGTCATAAAGGCTCATCATGGAGGAGCGCGCAGTGAAACATCGTGTAAATGAGTATAGTCTAGTATATTATATTGGGGTTATATTGGGATGATGAAAAATAGAATGGAAACTGCTGTTTAAGGTTTAGCTGAACTGTAGTTCTGCAAAGCCTTGAGGGAAACAACCCAACTGAGTGCCAGACCCTTGAGGCATTGGTGTACCCTTCCACAGCCTGCGGCCAGGGCGACCTATACTGGGTTGCTGTTAAGGAGCTTCATTTAAATTACTATATTGGACAAACCATATTAATCACGGTATATACCCGTTATGTTGATTTATCTTAAGTTCCTTAACTGCAACCCCGTAAACGGGTGTCCAACCTGGGAGGGTCCACTACAAATGCCCCCCTGGTAGGGCTCCCGAAGGAAATGCCTGCTTCACGATGCTGGGACCGAAGTGGTCCTGGTTCACATACAACACCTGTCAAGAAGGGCAGCAGACTGAAGCAACAACCGAAACATCAAATGAGCTATAGTCTAAACTCCTAGTATCTCCCTAATAACCCCTACAGTCGTCCCCTATATAATCCAGTATATATCCCCCTTTACGGATTTGGACTATTCATCAGATTGGTTCAGAAGGGCAAACGTGTAGCTCGCAGCGCGACCCATGTGTGACAGGCCAGGTCCCATAAACCTTGGCCTCGATGAACCACTAGGGTCACTATTGGTTATATAGGGATAATGGAAAAGAAAATGGAAACTACTATAATGGGCTTTATAGGGTATATATTGGGGTTATATATAGGGATAATGGAAAATAAAATGGAAACTACTATAGTATATTGGGGTTATATCGGGATAATGGAAAAGAATATGGAAACTACAGAACGCACTGCTTGGGCGTAAATGCCGCCATGGTGGGCATTCTGACATATTAGAATGGAAAGTTGTTCAAAACTGTGGTCCGTTTCTGAGTAAATTTTAAGGGTCGCATGACATAAGGGACCTCAACCAAGAAGGTGCTATTGAATTATTGCTTTTGACCACCCCCATTACACCCTTAGCACATTGCTCCAGCCTCAATGCGACTGTTACACTGCTGCAGGCAAGACCACCCTAAACCCTAAACCCTAAACCCAATATACAGGGATTGTATTGGGATCCCCTCCCCCACTCTCCCTTAAGCACCGCTAAGTCCCTGCCACCAGATCCTGGGCAACCCGGCCCTCGAGACGGACATGCCCTCCGGAATTCGAAGGGCCAGGGAGGAGTAGCCGTCACCTCGCTCTCGCGCCTGAACCCTAAGCCCAGAGCAAGATGACTTGTGGCATAGAATCAAGAAATTAAGGCTCCCTTGTCGCCCCCCAAGATGTGCAGAAAAGCATACATTAACGAGGTGTCTTCCTCAAATGCGGTTGGCCAGTTAAAGCAGGATGCTTCGACCACCACATGCTTCCAAGTGAAATGGATTCCGCTGGATGCCATCTGGACATGCTCATGAGCCGCGTGCAATGCCAAAGTACTACAGCAGAATCTTCATAATCAGTTCCCCAAAGAGACCCGGGGCGACACCAGCTGAGATCCAGGCTTGCATCCTTGTTTCCGTTGGGATGGAAGATCAGCCTCAGCGGCTGTCAGGGGCATCAACCAAATGGGTATGCAAGGCAGTGCCTCCAACGTGTGCGGGATGTTGCTTCGACCCAGTCCCGAAATAACTATCAGGCTCTAACAGCTTGCAGACGATGCACATGCCCATCTCATGTGATTTGGCCCCGGGTTGTGAGAAGCAAGCCACAGAGCTTTTGCATGGTGGAAAGCATCTTGTAGTAGGGAAGATTAGGGCCAACTGACGAGAAGAAAAACCTGCAGAAACACATAGGAACGCGCTTCAAATGTTGCAAGCAGCACCCCGCCCCACGGTGCGATGGTTCTGCCCATTTTTGGTCATGGCTGCAAGATCTGTCTTTCAGGTGCCAACAGAGTCCAAGTACCAGACAATCCTGTACTCTGCAAGTCTTGCCAAACTCCAAAATGCCTTGTCTGTGGGCACTTGGACCCTTAGGCGTAGAACATGCGCACACAATCCTGTAGTTTCCTTAGACCTACAATAGTAATAGTTTTGATATTTCCTTAGGGTTATACTGTACTAAAAGTTAAGCATTAATTCCTAAGGACAGTACAGAATCCTGACCGGTCAAGGTGCATAGGAAAGCATCAAAGGTGAGTCAAGCTGGCACCTGCTTTGCAGGCTACTTCGCGCGGATGTTTCTCAAACAGGGGAGTGTGAGGGTTCCTCGTGAAGGATTCTATGGCTGTAATTTTGAAAAACTCCCACGCATTATGAGGAAGATCGACCATTCAGCTGGATAGCTACAAGGCAGTGATCAAGATTGTCAGAGGTGTCATTACACGCTATACATCTCTGGTTAGTGGCCATGGTAGGTGGATGACCAGCGCGATGGCAGCAACATTGGTAGGCAAAATCCGCATTCCGCACATCCGTCTGCAAAAGCATTCATCGGCCTGCTTCAAGCATCTTCAAGCCGTGACTAGTATGGCAAGCAGCCGCAGGGCCTCATCCAAAACCCATCAGGGTTCCTTGGTCTGGAGGCAACCATTCTATGTCTGCTGTTTCCTTCGGCTCCAGAAATGGCAACCGCAGTGCTGAGACTCCAGAATTCCAGTTCTGTGCCCCGGCCACACGTGCCCTGACGTCTACGTTTCTGTCTCCCAGTCCCAGAAAAAAAACGACCCCCACCAAATCTCACAGGCTCCGGTGCATGACAAGTGAAGTGAGCTGGCAACTTCGCGTTGTGACCCTCATCCTCCTCGGACTTTGCAGAGCAATGAACTTCCTTCCACAACCACCAGTGATGCGAGCGGCATGGAGACCCACAACGGCGTGAGAACCAGGACAGGTGAGATGCCCAGAGCTTTTCAGACTTTAAGTCACGTCGTACATGAAGTCCACCAGCGCCTGGCGTGTTTCTGCCGACATTTGCAGCGACCGGTCGTTCAAAGCAGCGTTGAGCTCGTCCTGTCTTTCTGGTGCTGCTCAAGGCCCTAATGTGAGATTTAGACTTCCTTCACCCAGCATTACACAAAAGTAGAAAGATGCATCCCTTCTGCTGAACCCCAAATTTGAAGCTTGCTTGTTTGGCCAGGGCACGGCGGATAGGATGCCGTCTCCTGCTGACTGCAGGCACATCTACTGCCAGACAGCTCACACAAGAAGAAGAGCGGTTCGTTCATACGCATATTCTGCATACCCCTGCTATACTATAGTAGTTTCTGTTCTTGTCCATTATCCCTATATAACCCCAATATACGATGGTAGTTTCCAATTTCGTTTCCATTACCCTATACAACCCCAATATAGTATAGTAGCTTCCATTTTCTTTTCTATTATCCCGATATAGCCCCAACATACTACAGCAGCTTCCATTTTCCTTTCCATCATCCCTACATAACTCATTTATGCAGCTGCTGTTCCCTGCCTGATGTATCAAGCTTCTGGAAGATCTGCTCGAGCACTGCCAGCTGATCAGCGGCGAGGCCCTCCTCAGCTAATCCCCTCCCCCTATAGGGTTTATGGTTTAGACCCCCCTACCCCCCCACGTAATATTAAATACTCCCAATATTTGATAATATACCATAATGGGGGAGTATTTAATGTTAGGTGGGTCGGGGCATTTAATAGTAGGGGGAGGATTACACCAGGTCAGGTTGGATTGAAACAAAAGTTCTGCAGGACTGCAGTTACTTCTTGGTTCAGGGGGGCTATGTATAGGGATAATGGTAAACGAAATGGAAACTACTACATTGCAATAGGGTAAATGTTGGGGTCTTAGTAGGGAACATGGGAATGCAATCCCTATATAATCCCTATATCATTAAATCATATATTCCCTCGGTCCCTACGAACCCCCACTAAGGTCAGCAGTCCTCTACAAAGAACTCCATCCATTCGTCCTTCGTGTAGCCATCTTCCTGGCACAGCTTCCAGAAGGCGAGCCGAGTAGTCAGGGTTGTCAGAACAAACCATCTCATATTTGTTTTGATGCTCCTTGCAAGATGGCCATTTTGGATGTCATTATTCTAGATTCCCTGGTTTTGAAATACGATCATATCGGCTCTGCCTCCTCTGCATCGACAGCACTCGAGGAAACTCCATCCGCGGGAGATTCGCTGTCCTGAAATGTTAGTACGTCAGTCGACTCGGGAGACTGAATCTGTACTTGAAAAGTGGAGTTCCTGATGCTATCAAATCTGCCCAGACCCTCAAATCTCTTGACATGAGTGGCGGTGGCATACATCACAAGGCCTCTTGGCTGATGATTGACAACCTATTACCCTGTACTGACATTGTTGGCTATGCCCTGGGATACTACGTGGCTTGCTAACGACTGGATATGCAGAGCACAGTGCAATAAAAGTAGTTGCATGAATCCAGACTCCAACGACTTGGAACTGTGGACTTGCCCGAGCCAAGAAAGAGGCCTCTTTCTGCGGTGCGGCAGCTTCTGCTTGCGGAGTGTCCTGCATAGAATAGTTGGTATCATTATGACGAATATCATTACTACTATTATGATCATTACTACTATTCCTATTACTACAATTATAACTGTTATTACTGTTACTATTTTTACAACTCGTGGCAGACCGCTGGAGGCTTGGTATTGCTGGAGTTTGGCTTGGTCAGGGGGGCAAGCACAAGCTGGGCAGAAATGATGAGATGCTGGCACTGACTCAGTGTGCTAGAAAACTGCAGAACTAAGGATATACGAAGGACACTGTCAGAACAACCCACAACAAGAACTGCCCCTTCACATGAGCTATAGTCCAAACTCCATGTACCCCCCTTAACAAACCCCATAGTAGCCCCCTATGTAAGCCCCTATATAACCCCCAAAAAGGCGTTTAGGCTATAGTTCACATCTTAGGGGCTTGGCATCTCTTCTTCCTTGCCTCAATCCCCAGCACGATTGCCATTGACAGAAGGGGATTTCCCAAAATTAGGGGTACGTTTTTTGGGGGGTCCCTATAATAAGGGAGGGTTATAGCATTTTGGGGCCTATATTGGGGTCCCCCTGTTTAAGGAAACTGCCAGAAGCGCATCCTCCTGCGGCCGCTGCAGCGTACTAGGAGGCGCTGGTGGCTCTGTCTTGGGGCCCACCTGGGGGCCGGGTTCCTCAGAGATGCGCAGGCGCAGCCCTCACAGAAGGATCTCTGACGAATGTTCCAAAAGCGTCACCCGCATGAGCTATAGTCTAAACTCCTAAAAAGGGGTCATATAGAGGATTATATATATATACATGGTTATGTAGGGGACTACTATAGGGGCTCTTATTAAGCGGGATACTAGGAGTTTACACTAGAGCCCACAAGAAAGCCACGGCCAGGCCTTCGGCTGCGGCGGTGTACTGGAGGACGCAGGCCGCTGTGACGCGGAAGGTTCCTGCTGGCACTCTTCCTGTAGTTCCCTTGGACCTATAATAGAAACGTTGTTGTTAATATCTTTTAAGGTTATATTATACTAGAAATATAAAATAATTCCTAAGGACAGTACCGCGTCTTGGTCTTGTGCAAAGGAGGATGGGGAGGAGGCGGGGAGCGGGGAGGAGCTGTGGGGGCAGTTTCCAACAGAAGGCTCATGGGCAAGGATCACGCCTGGTGTTTCAACATGTCTCAACTTGACCAACGTGACAAAAACTCTGACTTCTAAATCCCAACTCAACCTTGAATGTCGCAGCTTGCCCAGCTAGAACGTATTTGATACAGTCAATGATCGAGTTCAAACCAGTGTCCAAAGGGTTGCTGTCTTGGGCTTGGGGAAATGCAGAAAGTCTGCCGAATCAGAATGCAGAGATGCCGAAGATGAATGGCCCTCAATCCTTTTTAGCACCACACTGGCATGCCCCAAAGCCTGTTTCGGTCTATGACTTACTAGATTTGGTGTCCAGACACCACACTCCACCCAAACCTTGCTCCATCACTACACAGCCTCATTCCACTACCTCCAGCGAGTCAGTATCGTCAGACTACTCTGAGTCATACTCTCGGTTCTTCTTCTCCTTGTGGCTACTGGCTGCTGCGCCTTGCCCCCACCAAAAATACAACGGCCACCACTACCATGACGAAGAATACTATGTCTGCTGCTCATTCCTCTGGTCGATGCCAGATTCTGGTGACTGTCATGGTCATCAATCCCTCTTATGCGAACTTTCACGAGTTTCACAGTACTGCATGCCCCAACAGCTCAGCCTCCTTTGCCCTCCGCAATGTGCTGGATTGGCTGGATGCCTCTGGCTAAAGTGACATGGCATGCACAAGGGGCAGCTGAGCTTTGGTAGTTCCCCGGACGCCAATATTCCCCAAGATAGTGTTGTCCTTATGATGGAGACCCCCAAAAAAGGTACCACTAATTTGGGGAAACCCCCATTTCGAAGTTCCAAAGTTTGAGGCCTGCGGCCGTGGCAGTGTGCTGGAAGATCCGGGCCGCTGCGATGCAACAGGCTCCTGGTGGATGTGGTATTTTCGACAAGAAAAGGGGACCCAATATGGACTCCAATATACTATAGTCCCTTAACAGCCAAGAAGGGGCCCGAATTTTGGGAAACTACCGGGCATCATGGTCAAGTGCTGCAAACTTCCCAGCACAGCTGATGAAAAGTCGCTCCAACCCAAAAACATACCTAAGTTAAAGCTTGGTTCTTGTTGCGTAGGCAATGCGAATTTTAGTTTGTTGGGTTTTGGGAAGCCCACAGACAAGCCGCACAGGTTGAGCTGGAGCTGACATGGATCCTGACCCCTGTCAAAGAGTTTCTCGAAAATCCGGGCCCCCTTGTAGGAGAACTCGCGTGCAGACTTCAACGTATTGATTAGAATTGGGGCCCCCTTGTCTGTGAGGATTACAGGAACTTCGGGTCAAGGGTACTACTGTGTTTTGAACGATTTCTTTAGGGACATCCCACTGCTCCTATTGATGTGGTACTGTGGCCTGACAAACGACAAGCAGGCCCTGTCGACACTTGGGGTTGCTTTTTCTACCCCCCGGACTTTTACGACTGCTCGGTGAGCACCGGGTTCAAAGGTTGCTTGACCCTTGTCGGCTGACTGGCAGGCATGGCATATGAGCCATTGTCTAAAC